AAGCAAACGAAAATTTGCTTTGTCGTACGTGTGTAAGACGGTGACAACACATCCGGGTGAGACGTCCCCTTAACTCTTAAGGGACCTCGCTACTGCCTTCGATTTTAGCTGAAAAGACCTTAAGTATTGAAAAAATTAAAGTTAGTTCACGTTGTCCGATTTTGATTCAGAAAAAAAATTTGAATTCACCAAAAAATTGTCTATAGATCCTACGAAGCACTTAAAAAAAAATAAATTAAAACTAAATTTTATATTATTGTGAATTGTAATTGAAAACTTAAAAATATCAACTTTTTCGAATCATCATTAAAATTAAAATTTATATTAAAAACGGAAAATGTTTCGTACTATTTACAGACATTTTTCTGCTGAATTCAAATAATTTTCGGAATCAAAATCAGCCAACGTTAACTAACTTTAATTTTGTCAAAACAAATGTATGTTTTTGTAAATTTTGTTAGCTCAAATATTAAGGGCGTAAATGCTGAGGTTAAAATATGAATTTTTCAAAAAAAAAAAAAATGGCGGAAAATTTTGTTTTGCTAATTTCTCAAACTTAAAATCGAGACGCGGCTTTTTTTAGAACAGAAATTTGATCTAGAGGTGTCACTGCATTGAACCTCAAAGATTTCAAGACGATACAACCTATATTATTTAAGGAGCTAGTATTTCAAAATATACCTACATCCCATTTTGTGTTATTAGCTCAAATATAATATGTGTTAGAGTGAATTGACCTATTATTTTATGGGTTTTAATATTTTATTCTAATATGACTATCGATTTACATTAATAAATAATGAGCTACACGCCTATTAAAATAAGTGTGAAAAAAAAGTTCAAAACATTTATTACTTGATACGTTACACAGACGTATCCCACGAGGAGACGCCTTGGTAATACGAAAAATAGCATAATTTGTTTTCTAACTTTTTGCTACTACGATTGCGGGCGAAATAATGATCATACGTGCTTCGATCATAGAGGTTTTTTGAATCCTCGTACGCCAAATAATCGGATTTAAGAATTTTGTAGTGATCAAACGCAAAAAAAAATCTAAAAAACACGTAAATACGTAAATACGTAATTTTCTAAGTACAAAAAACACCCTAAAAATCATAAGTCCCGAACCAAAAGTCGGATCACCTCGATCTCGGTGCCAATTGTTCAGGCATAAAGGGCTCTATAAAGTCCGACTATAAAAACGGCTAGGAGCGCCCAAAATCTAAGTGTTCGTAGCATTTCGTGCTGAAAAATACGAAAAACGCAGATTTTAAAATTTTTCAATCCCCAAAAGACTGAGAAAAACTGCTCGAACAATCTCGACACAAGACGCCGAATTTGATCACCGACCTCCAAACTATACAAATCTCGAGTTTCAGAAACTTCGTACAAAAACTAAACCTTTTCCAAAATACACCTAGGGGGGATTCAAGGACCCCCAATTCCGGGAGTACGTTTTAGAAGGGCCTAAACCGAAAGTTTGGTAACTCAAAAGTATAATATTATCTTATGTGAACGTCATCTACATTCTACACCTTATGGATTTATTGAACTTTAAAAACTATTAGGTACATATTTATACGTTAGTTGGTAGGTAATTACGCCAGCAACACGCAACTTTCTATGTCAGTAGTTTTCCTAGAAGTAGTCACCTTATTCATATAATCACATCGATAGTAAATATATTTAAGAGTGTTTAACATGACCAATGTCCAATTGTTTATATAATTGATGAACTTAAAATTTCAATCATCAAAGTTTATGATGTATACGTCTCGAAAATGATTATAACTAATTGTATTTTGTTATAATACTATAATATGAGTATATGACATGTCTTGAAATTTACTAACGCTGGACAATATATGTATAAACGCATAGTAAATTGGTAAATGTCAAATGTATATTATAATATTAGGTATGCACTCTATTCAGAACTCTTGTGGTCGTCTGTTTATGGATGAGATTAATCCCACATAGGAGAACGAGAAATAGTGAAATCTCAAGTTTATCGATAGAGAATTTTATGGAGATTCCATTTAAATGTTCAGTGTAACGAATTTTCCAGTAGTTAAATAGATAGCTTACAAAAATCATAAAAAAACCAAAAATTCATAGAATTTTCTCTGTTTTTAAAGAACAATGGGCTTCTCGGCCTAATGGCTAAGATCAAAGTGTAGAAACAGATAACACCAAATGGCAAATTTAAATGTTCAAATAAGCCACATGCCCATTGACGGTTGCCTATTGAAAATGGCTTCCTCAACCTTCCTGCACAGTCGCACCTGTAGATACTATAGGCTCTAATTATATAACCCCATATAGGATAAAAAATATTATCTTAATTAAATTGTTGACTGGTTACGAGGAATTATTGTTCCATACAATGGTTCCGCGTTATAAATTATAATCAATATAGGGTACCTTTCCTTCTTTAACAGGTCCTGATTAAATCGGCGTGCTACAGAGAAATTCTCGGTAGGACAGCGGCTTGAAACTGAAGGAAGAGTTTAATATGTTATTAAAAATTAAAAATATAAGATTCCCGCAGAGGCGTATGCAGGATTTTTCAACTGGTAGGGGGAGGGGCTTGAAATTAGTTACATGTTTATTTATATTAAGTCCATTCATTTTAAAATGTTTGTAACACTCCTCAGGCAGCTTCTAGACTCGTTCGAAGACTGCCTTTGTGCATTTTCTCAACACCATCGTCTCCCGACCATCATTATTTTGCGAATTATTGCATTTATTTTATTTAATTAATTAATATTAATTACATATTATTCATATTACTAATATATATTTTTTCAAATACTTGAATAATTTATTTAAACCTACTGCACTCAACTACTTATCTTTTATCAATGGATCAAGTTGACTGTAAGTATAGAATAAATTGTTTTATATTCTAATATACTAATTTTATGTTAATTTGTAAATTATAGACAACGTAAATGACATCGCGGCAAAACCTGCAGATGAACCAGTAATCGGACCACCTCAGGAACCCCTATCCAGAGTAATTCCTGGACTTCGGGGAAGTTCAAAAGTGTATATTGATAGACTAGGATTCGTCTATTACCAGCATTCCATTAGAGGAAATAACCAGTTAGTAATTAAACGGGTTAGGATATAAACAAAAAAATGATTTATAATATAAAAAATATTTTAAATTATTAAATACAATTTAATATAACTTATTACTTCATACCACTCCTAGTAACAGGAATACCTGACAAATGAAATAACTTTTGTTCTAATTAATATTTTTCTATATAATTTATTGACTCATAAGCTACATGTATGATTATATAACATTTTTATTTTTAATACTAAAAATAAAACATTTGAAACCTGATTTAAATTTTTTTTGAAAAATTCAAAATGGCTAATTTGTAAGTCTGGTTTTTAGAAAAATTTTGACTGTAAATATAAATATCAAAGTCAACTGCCTAATTTTTATGATTTTTTTTAAAAAAGAAAATTGTTTTGAAGTAAGACTCATTTTAATTTGAAAAGTGACAACTTTTAAATAAAAATATTAGATTTTAATTAGTACTTAGCTATATAAAAATTCTGATAAGGTACTTCAAACAAGTTCAAAGAAAAACCTAATTTTATTGTAGATTTGTTATTTTCCATATTTTTACTAATAAAATGTCAATTATTCAAAGCTGGGCACTAACTAGTTATCATTATTATTTTTTTTTTCATTCCAAAATTCCAAAAGCTATTCCTTAATCATGACATTATAGCTAAATGCCTAAAATATAGATTATTGGATCATAATATATATTATTAATTATTAGTATTTATAATAATGCACGCACAGGTACCACGACTTTTCCTTGTAGTCTGTAGAATGTTGATATATACTAGATATAATTAATAGTATCTATACAGGTGGCTTCACCAATAAGTGTAGACACAATGTTTTAAGTTTTCACTGTTTTTTTTTCACCCTTTAGTTTTTATGTTCTAATAAATTGAAATAATTTATATTATTTAATAAATTGTATTAATTGAAATTATTTAATAGTTTGTATTAATTGAAATTATTACTTACCTAATAAGAACATTTTTATCAAATTATTAGGTGTTTAATTCAATTTTTTAGTTTCAATCAATAATTCAAGTTAGACAACTTATTTTATATTTATTTTTTTTTTTTATTTTTTCAACAAAAAGGTTTTTTAATCTATAAAAAAAAAAACTAACTTCAAACTTTTACTCTAACTTAGTTAGTTTTTTTATTAAAGTAACTTAACTTCAACTAGTTGAAAAAAATGACGAACTTGCCCAGCTTTGCAATTATGTATCTACTAGCATCTACAAAACCACAATAACAATAATTAATAATGATGAATAAGGAATATTGTCTATAACAAATGTTAATGTGCAATGTTAAAACCTATAGACAGAGCCCTACTTAGGGCTAATTTATTGGTGGGGCCCCTTAATTTAAATTATGAATTCAGTCTTTTTTGGCTTTATTGCTTTTTTATTTTCAATTTATTTTTAATAGTGTACACATAACATAAAAATCTAATACAAATATTGCAGGGCCAATCGAAATTAAACACTCATTAAAAATAAGCTATACTACAATTGCAAATAATTGTATGTTGTTATAATATTACTGTTACTTAATATGTAAAATTATATTTCTGATTAAAATTAGGTATTTTAGATGTGAGAACTATCGTTATGGTTGTCCGGCCTCAGCAAAAATGGCAACAGTTGTTGGAGCGCCAATGCCGCCAATACTGATTTCTCCAGCACGTGGACATATACATGAACCCATACCCAACCATGCAGTGGAATTGCGAGGTTTTATGAACAGACTTAGAGAAAGGGGCAATGCGGAGAACATTTTTCCACAGAACATTGTAGACCAAGAGGCACATCAGTAATCTGTCCAACAAAAACAATTTGACTTTAAGTTAATATTCTTATACAATTTAAATGCAATAAATATAATTAATAATTACAGATATCCCAGAGCAGCGATGGAAGTGGGGCGTCCAGCGGCAGTTCGGGCTATTGCACGGGCTAGGCGTAGGAACAGCCCACCTGTTCCGGAAACGCTAAGGAATTGGGTAGATATATTCAATTCCAATGAATGGGGCCCAAGACTGCGTAATGTGAACGGTTCAATGGCGCCATTTTACGAAGGTCCATTGGAGATTTTGAACGATGATGGAAGTGTTCGCTTTGTTGGAATTGTCTTCACTAACAACTCGTTCTTGCAAGAAATAAATTTACATTTAAATAGTGTAAGGACTTTATGTATGGATGGTACTTTTCAAATAAGACCACGACAGCCAGCTGATATAAATCAACTATTTACTATCCAAATAATTTTTAACAATGTGGTAAGTTTAAAAAAATATAATACCAACACATGTAAATTTTTTATTTGATATATGGTTTATCCATTCTTAGGCAATTCCAATCGTACACGCGCTGATGGTTGATCGCAATACTGAGAGCTACTGCCGTTTACTTCAGTTTGTAAGGAATGAACTGCAGTTAAACATTGATTACACCAATATCCAGATAATTACTGATTTTGAACAGGGTCTGAGGAATGCTATAGCTAGGGTGTTACCAGAAGCCAACAATTCTGGCTGTTGGTTTCATTATATCCAGGTACTGCAATAACACAGATAAATTAAACAGACAGACATATAATATATTAATTTATTTAATGACATGTTAAGGCAATAAAATATATTTTAATAAACAATTTTTATTTCAGAGCATTATTCGATATGTTCGAAGCCATCGAATGGTGAATTTGTGCACCATTAATGAAAATGCAAGGCGAATTCTGAGAATGGTAATCATCTTTTGTGATAAATAAAGTTTAGGGGAATTAATTATCAAATTTAAAATTACAACGTTACCATCACCCAGCAACAAAAAACATCTTCAGTAAGAATACTTGAATGAATTAAAATATAAGTTTGCATGTGTGCTTACTACAATAATACAATTTGTTGGCTAATGGCTTGTAGTTGTACTTTGAATATAGAATGTTATGTAAAATATAATTAAAACAAGTAATATTATTTGTAACTATGAATATTGTATGTTATGTTATATATGAATGTAAATATCTCAAAATTGTATGGTTATTAGAAATTTGCCTGGTATTGATTATATTTCATTAAATTAATTTTACTAATCAAACTCATTAATCTATTATACTTAATTTTAACACTTTTGCACGATTGTAACATAATATACATATAATAGTTACTTATCTATATGACGTTAAATGTATTATTATAGTTGATGGCTTTGGCTCATTTACCTTTTACAGAACAACTCCACCACGGAAATGCTTATTCAATCCAATTGGGATTTAGGCTGACACAAGACCTAGGTACGTTTATAATAATTAACCGAGTACAATATGCTACTTTAAATATGTTTTTTTTAATTTCAGTTACTGACTATAACTTGGAAGATCAATTGGCAGATCTAATGAGGTATTATGAGCGGTACTGGATGGATACTGTGACTCCACGGATATTCACAGTATTCTGGCTACAGTATAGAACAAACAACTATATAGAGTCATACCACGCATCGCTGTTACGACTAATGGGCCAACACCCAACATTGTATGGATTCTATGGTAATTTTTTTTTATAAAATCAAAGTAAAATTGTTATGCAATTGAGATATTATAGGAAGCTGATTTCTAATATGATAAAATTGTTTGTATACATTTATTAGATCACTTGAGAACAGTTGAAGAAAGAGGACGAAATGATTTCAGTCGAACAGTCAACGGGCAGAGGGTTAGTACATCTGTAATCACACATTAATCACTTTATTAACAATGTTTTTTTTTTTTTTTACCTAAATGTATTATAATTATTAATATGTCTGAACAACATACTTACCCCAATTTTGGTTTACTAGGTAAGGCAAGCTGATTACAGGGTATACCCGCGTAACAATATAACGATACGAAATGCGTGGATTAATGTAGAAAACGGCAACTACAATCTTAGTGATTTCATAAGGAATGTGGCGTACACGCCAGAGCAAATAATCAAAAACGAAATTGGGGAGCCCAATTTTCCACATCGTAAGTCATTTATAAATGAATATAAACCATAACAACTACATATTTTTAAAAGTTATCAATAGATTGTTTAACGGGATACTTCAATTTTATCATTTAGAAGCTATATTACCCGGTATTGATATACAACCACTTGCGCCACCTGCACCATTGCGGCCACGGCCAGCTTTTAGGCCTTGGATATTGGGACCAGTGCGCCCACCGCCGTATCAACCACTTTTGCCTCCTCAACCAATTGTTCAACCACCTGCGGTATTGCCAATGCGTCCACTGTTGCCCGTTCAACCAATCCACATATTACCATTGTCGCCAGGTTTAGAGGAGCCAATCCGTCCACCATCACCAGAGATACCCATAGAGGAGATAGTTATTGAAGCTCCTCAGAGGAGGGGACCAGGTCGTATCCGTGGTCGAGGTAGGAGGCATGAAGAACTTGACCGACCTTATCCTATAGGTAAATGCATACAGTTTATTACATAATAAATAATGCCTAACCCATGTGAATATAATTTTTATAAAATAAGTTACCTTTTTATGTAATTAATCCATTAATATATTCATAGAAAACCGTGGACGTGGAAGAAGAGCGGTTAGGAGTGGGACGCGTAAATGCTGACATCAGAAGAGGTCCAGGTCCAAACTTTGGTCGACCTTGGGCAGAAGTCTACATGGATAATGAGAATGGTATAATTTAATTTAGTCAAAAATGTTAATATTAATTAATGTAAATAGGGGAAAGATTCTATATAAATATATAAATTGCATATTGTTTTCAGAACCAGAGCTAGAAATTTTACTGCCGATTAATAACCATCTGCCAATTCCTGTCGTCAATGCAGGTAAAAATATTTATTATAATAAATTTACCATACATAAAATCAGATATACAATTATATAAATAATTTCAAATTGTTTTAGATATCTTGGAATTATGCTGCATATGTTTCGATAGGGTGGTGGTGGTAACGTTGGTACCTCGTGGACATCAGTTCTGCGACATATGTGTTAGAAGAATGATACAGGAACAATATGAAGTATGCCCTCTTTGTCGAGGCCAAATAAATATGTATCTTGGCTATAATTTAGGTTAAGACTCTATGGTGTATAGGTACATACCTATGGTGTCATCTATTTATGATTATTATAGCTACTATATTTACTAATTACTGTTAAGTTTTATGGAGAAAATTATTCATTTTACATTGTTTTTATTATTTCGTTTAAAATAAACTAATATATAATATTATTTATCTTCCTAGATTTAACGTAACCTAATCAACTTTCTCCACACAGAATAATACTTATACAAATCACAAATGTCAAATACTAAGGATGCCCTAGAATCAAAAAAAAATTAATAATACACCTAATGGCTAATACTTATTATAAATAATAATAAAGAATTATAGAACATAGTGAGTGTTTGAATTACCTTTTTTAACGTTAGGAATTTTTTTAATTGGTATACCTATTCCAATGTTAACCATTTTATGTTGGCGATGATAAAAAAAAAATAAAAATAGATTTATATTTTACAACTACTGAAATACCTAAATAGTAAATAATTATATTAAAATTTAAAAGTGGTAGCAACAGTAAGTTAAATGTCAGACATTACATTTAAAAAAAATGTTAGAAAATAGAAAATTGAAATTATGACTTATGACTTATGAGACATGAATACAATACTCTGGTATATATTATATTGTGATAGTGTGATACCAGATTGTTATTTTATAATTATATGATATGAGATGGTTGGGCATTGAGCAAGACGTAGTTTGTCCCAAATAAACTATGTTCCACAAAAAAGTTATTCCAACAGACTTTGTTCCGCAAAACATTTGTTCCATTGGACTTTTGTTCCATAAAATATCTGTTTCCATCTACTTTTGTTCCAAGGATATTTATTCCACAGAACACTTGTTCCACGTTTGGAACAAACGTTTTTTGGAACAAATATTCGTGGGACAAAGTGTATTGGTATTAATGGTTTATGGAAAAAAAGTCCATAGGAAAAAATGTTTTGCGGAACAAAAGGTACAATTTGGACCTTAATTAAATTGGAACAAATATATCGTGGAACAAAGTTTTTGTGGAACAAAAGGTAGTAATCCGGTTGCTATCACAGATATATAAACAAACTAGATAGCGCACGACAATCCGAAAAGCATGAACTAAGATATAGAGGACTGGACTCGTTATAGCAGGGAGGTGTGCGGGGTGTTTCCTTCAAAATATGTAGAGCGGAGGAGTTACCGATGGTTTATCCACCTTTTAGCTTCACTAGCGCTCCTTCAACGACCAGTGGCCAATAACATAATAATATTTTTTTTAGTTTTCTATTGATAACCATGATGAATGATAATACTGGCCACTGTAACTTGCAAGGTAATAATTAAATAATATTATAATGCTATAATACATTAATATTTAATAGTTTAATACTGTACAATTGTAAAATTTTCAACTTTAAACTTTAAATTCACGTTCTAACACAATATATTTTGATAATAGTTAATACCTATAAAGGCTAGGAATAATATCTAAGACCATGTTTGATACTTTAAGTTCAGGATAAATGATTTGAGGGTTAAATCTTACAGGGGCATAAACACAATATACCTATTCAATAGTATTACTGATTGATAATAATTAAAATGTTCAAATAATACAACAACAATATAGTTTTATGGTTAGGTTGACACGAACTTTGACAGTTTTTTATTTTTAAAACTTTTTTGTTTTACTTCTTTGTTTTGTATTAATGTAAATTGTTTCATCCTCATTGTAATATAATACTGGAATATTGTTATTATTTCTGTATCATGTAAGTTACAAGGAAATGTTAGTAAGATCTACAAATATCATCTGGACTAAAATGCAATTCACATACATGTGATGCTAGAGATGCTGGTTTACCATTTACTCTACTAATAGCTTGTTTCCACTTATTACTTATCGTTTCATCTTTAGGTATAGAAAAGAGAGTACTTTTTTCTATTTTCAATTTTGCGACTTGGACAGTTTAAAATACAACATAAATTAACCATTTTTTTTTCAAATTTACAAAATTGTGTACTTGATTATCAAAATTTCAATAAATGTCCGTATCGGCATTTTATAAATAAAGTACATAATATACATTGAAAAATTATCAAAATCAAAAGTTTGTAAATAATATACCTATTATATTAGATTATAATATTATTTCATATTTCTGAATAACAAAAAAAAAAAACGCGAAAAAAACATAACTATTTCACCTAGATAGCGTTAGTGTGGCTAAAAGGTGGAAAATCCACCCGTAACTCCACCACTCTACATACTTTTGGGGAACGTTATTTAATCTCGTGTCCAGTCCTCTATATCTTAGTTCGTGCCGAAAAGTGTGTCTTGTTTCGCTATATGCAAACACGGCAATATTTACAAATATTAACTGATAACAGCTAATGATAAATTATAATTTTGATGAATACTTATTAAAAATACTAGATCATATTATACTTGTATAACTAAAATCTTAAATCATTATTCTTGTATCTTGATTAGGTATTTAATGATGTGTAGACATGTAGTTTCGTCCAAATTTAAACTTAAAAATTAAAATAACTATACAAAAAACCGTGTACATGTTATATGTATATGTATAACTATTAATCATAAATGAGTGGAGAGAAGTAAAGGACTTAATAAAATTAACAGATTTTGTGCCTTTTCAAGGTAGGTTTATTATAATTAAATATAACACAATTACATATT